ACTCAACTTCCCTTTCTTATTGAGTCGGGATAATCCTCTCATGGGTGACACCTTAAGAAATACGTGATCACCTACTTGAAACTCCAAATGTCTTCGCCTTCTGTCTGCATAACTCTTTTGACGGCTTTAAGCTGTTTTCAGTCTCTCACGAATTACCTTAACAACCTCAACTGACAGTTGAACTAATTCTGGCCCGGTTATACTCATTTCTCTTACTTCATCCCAACATACGGGCGTTCTACACGCTCTGCCATATAGTGCTTCAAATGGTGCCATTCCGATACTCTGCGGAAAACTATTATTATACGCAAATTCTGCTAAGGGCAATTGCTCTTCCCACCTGCCCTGAAAATCCAACACACATGCCCGAAGCATATCCTCTAAAGTCTGAATCGTCCTTTCAGACTGGCCATCCGTTTGTGGATGGTAAGCTGTACTAAACTGCAGCTTTGATCCTAATGCCGTTTGCAGACTTTTCCAAAAATTGGCGGTAAACCTAGGATCACGATCTGAGGTAATCGTCACTGGTACCCCATGTAAACGAACTATTTGTTGTAAGTACAACTCAGCATACCGATCTAATGCAAAATCCTTTTGCACGGCCAAAAAGTGTGCTGACTTTATCAATCTATTGACAATCACCCAAATAGTATCATGGCCTCTTTGGCTCCTTGGTAATCCCATCACAAAATCCATAGTTATATGTTCCCATTTCCACTCTGGGATTTCCAAATGTCGCAACAATCCTCCATGCTTACAATATTGCGCCTTCACTTGCTGGCACGTCAGGCACTTAGCCACGTGCTTAGCTATATCTACCTTCATGCCATTCCACCAATAGTACTGTCTTAGATTCTGATACATTTTGGTACTACCAGGATGGATGCTATAACTACTACGATGCACTTCTGATAAAATTTCTTCCTTAAGTTCTGCATCGTCAGGCACGCATAATCGTCCACGGAACTTCAGTACCCCGTCTTCGGATATTTGAAAGTCCGACTTTCTCTTGGTATCATCCATTTCTAGAATCCTTTGGATTTCTTGATCCGTGGACCGTAAAGCCTTAATCTTAGCCTGGATCTCTGGTTCAATCCTTAGTGTGGCTACCAAACTCGAGACTTGACTTACTTCAAATCTAAACTCCGAGTCTCGCACTTTTTCCAACAAAGTCCATTCCTTAACCATCATATGTGCGATGCTTGACTTCCAACTCAATGTATCGGCTACCCGGTTGGCCTTCCCGGGGTGATATAATATATCACAATCGTAATCCTTCAGCAATTCCATCCACCGACGCTGCCTCATATTTAACTCCTTTTGAGAAAACAGATATTTAAGACTCTGATGATCGGTATATATCTAAAATTTCTCTCCGCATAGATAATGTCGCTAAATCTTAAGGGCGAATACTATAGCGGCTAACTCCAAATCATGCGTCGGGTAGTTCAACTAATGCGGTCTTAACTGCCTTGATGCGTAGGCCACTACTAGTCCATTTTGCATGAGTACACACCTCAGTCCTTTTAATGACGCATCGCTATAAATTTCGTATCCTCCGGGTCCTGATGGAATAGTCAACACCGGTGTCGTTGTAAATCTATGCTTTAATTCCTGAAAACTCCTTTCACATTTGTCGGTCCATTCAAACCTTGTTTCCTTTTTCAACAAATGTGTCAACGGTGTCGCTATTGCCGAAAACCCTTCTACGAAGCGTCGGTAATATCCTGCCAAACCCAAAAAGCTTCGAACCTGTGTTACAGTCGTTGGTCTCGGCCACTTCATTACCGCCTCAATCTTTGTTAGATATACTGAGATACCTTCCCCAGAGATCACGTGTCCAAGAAATGCTACTCGATTGAGGCAGAACTCGCACTTACTAAGCTTAGCATACATTGCGTTCTCTCTTAAAGTCTGCAAAACTTTACTCAAATGAAACTCATGCTCCTCTAGGCTCTTCGAGTACACTAATATGTCATCTATGAAAACGATCACAAATTGATCTAAGAACTCCTTAAATACTCGATTGATTAAGTCCATAAAGGCAGCAGGGGCGTTCGTCAATCCGAACGGCATTACCGTAAATTCATAATGTCCATATCTCGTTCTAAATGCCGTCTACGATATATCCTCCTTCCTAATCCTCAATTGATGATATCCCGTTCTCAAATCAATTTTAGAAAACACCGAAGCCCCTTGTAATTGATCAAACAAATCATCTATCATTGGCAGGGGATATTTATTTTTTATTGTCACCTGATTTAGCTGCCTGTAATCAATACATAACCTCAACGATCAATCTTTCTTCCTTACAAACAAAACTGGCGCTCCCCATGGAGACGCACTTGGACGAATAAATCCTTTGTCCAATAATTCTTGCATTTGCACCTTTAACTCCTTTAACTCTGACAACGACATTCTATAAGGTGCCTTCGAGATTGGCTCAGTCCCAGGAGCCAACTCGATTACAAACTCTACTTCTCTTTCTGGTGGCAATCCCGGCAATTCCTGAGGAAAGACATCGGGATAATCGCACACCACGGCTATGTCCTCTAGCCTCGGCTCTTCAGCCGTCGAATTAACCACAGCCGCTAGAAATCCTTGACACCCTTCGTTCAACAACTTAGTCATTTCTAGCGACGAAATCAATGAAATCGAGGGTCCCCCTTGATTTCCCACAAATTTGAATTCCGGACGTCCAACAGGATTAAATTGGATCACCCTGCTACTACAATCCATTACGGACCTCTGCTTAGCCAGCCAATCCATACCTACTATCACATCAAAATCATATATGGCTAGAACTGCTAAATCAATCCTTTCCTCCCTATCACCAATCACAATCTTACAATTCGGGCACCCCAACGAGACTAGCACCTTATCATTCAAGGGAGTTGTCACACACAATACAACATCAAGCAACTGCGGTTCTATACCAGTCAACTGAACAAATTGCTCAGATATAAATGAATGTGACGCCCCAAGGTCAAATAAAGCATACGTAGCATGATCGCACAGAGAAACCGTACCTGTGACTACCCCTGGCGCATTCTCAATCTTTCTTCTGGCCATGGCGTACACCCGTCCTTGGGCCTGTGGCTTATTCTGATTAGCTGTCTGAGCAGCTCCAATTTGGTTCCCGTTCCGGGGCGGCGACAACGCAGGCGATCTATTCTGCCTGAGGTTGGGGCAAAACCTTATATGATAATCAAATCCGCCACATCCGAAACATGCTCCGCCCCTGGTTGGGCAAGGTCCATTTCCATGTCTTTCCCCATGCACCCGACATGGACCATTATGAAAACGGGTCGGTTTCCCTATATTCCTTCTAGCATGAGGGACGAAACGTCGATTCCCCGTCGTTGGCCTCTTCCCTAATTGATGGTTGTCCCTACCCTCGGCAAATCTCGACCCAGAAGCGGCAGCCCTATCCGCTAAGTCCCGCTCAATCGCTTGGGCCCTGTCATAGATCTCATTATACTCTCTTAAATTTAACGAAATCATTTGGCTACGAAGGTCCGGCTTCAAGCCGTCTCGAAACCTCTGAGCCCTATCCAACGAGTCCTCGACCATCTTTAGGGCAAACTTAGATAACCGAGCAAATTCAGCCTCGTACTGATCCACTGTCCTCTGCCCCTGACGAAGCCTCATAAACTCAGATAATTTCTGTTCCCGGGCACTCTCAGAAAAAATATTTACCATTAAAGGTCTCCACAAACATCGCCCAAGTCTGGGCGGCACCAACCGGGAACACCCTTCCTCTGGTGGCTTTCCACCAATCACTTGCATTTCCTTGTAATTGATACACTGCTAATGTCACTTTCTCTTCCTCAGTGCATCCTAATACCTCAAAAGCTTTTTCCAACTCCTCCACCCAAAGCGATGCAGCCTCAAGATCGCCTCTATCATCAAACTTAGGAGGCTTTAACTTCAGAAACAGCTCCACTAATTGGTGCATCTGCCTATTCACATTCACTTGCCCCTGCCCTCGATTTCCATTATTATTATTGGCAGAAGCGGCCACAGCGGCCTCGGCAGCTTAGGCAATCGTGGCAGCTCTTTCCTGAGTCTGCCGTCCTATCAAATTACCAATCTCTTCTAGGGTCCTCATGACCGCATCCATTTTCGGATCTCCTGCAGGTCGAGCTCGCGAGCTTGATGGACCCCCAGTTCCTCTACCTCGCGAACTCATCCTCACGATTTCTACCACTCGCCTACCTGCTATAATTCCACTCAGGAATTAGAAACCTAGGCCAACTATACCAGTCTAGTCCTAGGCAGTGAATTAACACAATAATTCACTCAGCAAGTAACCAATCACCACATCACAAGGCAACAATCAATAGGGTCTGTGCACTTACCTCAGGTCCAGATGCACCTGCATTTCAATTGTTATAATAATCAATTCACCCAACAATCACAACAAACAATCTGGAGGCATGCGTAGCTCATTCCACCCTACGACTCGCTAAGGTCTCCCTAGATTACTACCCCAAGGTCTCTGCTCCTTATCACTCCAGACTTCGACCAACTTAGATTGAGCTGTCCTTGCTCTGATACCAAATCAAATCGTAAATTCACGCCCCGAACTCCATCTAGCACGTGACACCCTCCTTTGGTCTAATATTGCGACGTCCCATAAAATCGCTGACCCAATTCAACTTATCAGAGATTTAAAACATCAGCGAAAGCCACAAACACCCAGACAGTAATTGACTAGGGGTAAAAGGGAGTATAGACATCCATTACTTATCCAAACTTATACAATATTCATATATACAGCCCATAATATACAAGCATACCGAATATCTAAACTATGCACCACCGACATAAAAAAGATCAGCACCCTGGGTATACCCTATCTCCAAAAATGGTACACTTCAAAAGTCTACACTCAACCCCTACACTAGCCCTTACGCCCTCTAGATGGCGTCTACTCTGAGTCCGACTCCTCAGGACCCGAGTCTGAATCTCCCTGAACTGTCTGCTCCTCTGAGGACTCCGAATCAGCATTGATCTCGATCGGGTTGTCCACATCACCCGACTCTAGAGGAACCTCTAACCGCTCCTCCTCATCAGACTCCTTTTCCGGCTCGTTCGCTGGCTCATCCTCTGGCTCGTCCTCGGGTGCGTCCTCTGATTCCATCTCTGGGTCTTCTTCGGGCTCATCTTCGGGTTCATTTTCTGGCGCCTCTTTAGGTTCTTCCTTAGGGTCTTCTTCTTCTGGTTCCTCCTCTGGTATAACCTCGAGATCTACATCCATAGGATCATACCTTGCCTGAGACTTCTCCGGCTCCGAATCATGCTCGGCTCCTGAGGGCTCAGGTGTTGCAGGCGCAGGCTGAAGTCCGGACTGTGCCAGGCTAGTCTCCAGACTAGTCATATCGCCATCAGGAGGGGGTATGGCTGATGGATCCCAATCCCCTACTCCGTCAAACGGCATGTCAAAGCCACGGACGGGGCTAAACTCGTCCAACCCGTCCTTAAACATCCAAGCAGTGTAGGTATGGGCCTGCCAAAGAGGTAGTCATACGTTTACCCAAACTACGATAGTATGCTTAACCCAGGTTGTATTCTCGTCTATAGGGTACTCTACGACATTATTGTCGGTATGCATCGGAATCCCAAAACGCCGCGGCGACGGCGGCGGAAGGTTCATGGCTCAGGCCGGGGTTCTGAAATTATTGGTTGAAACAACCATGAGAACACGTCTCAATAAGTACACACCCTAAACCACACCTAGGCTATCACGTACGTCCAGACAAGTTAAAACACAAACACACTCAACCATCACATAATATGCACACAATTTACACTTACTTGGGCCTGTCTCGCGTGCAACCTGCACGTTAGCCACAATAGCACAATTTCCAACCACATGCACATTCTAATTACATTTCACGCACTCGTTCCTGCCTCATCACATTCTTTTCACTCAACTCGCCAGTGACCCGCGTAATGATACCGCCTCAGGTTCACTGCGACCATCTCATGTTTTCCACTCAACTCGCTAGTGACCCGCGTAATAGTACCGCCTCAGGTTCACCGCGACCAATTCATATTCACAACACTTCGTGGCCCGCGTAATGGTACCGCCTCAGGCAATGTATCTTGCCCGCGTAATGGTACCGCCTGAGGCTCGACATTCACCACCTACGACACAACCCGCATAATGGTACCGCCTCAGGTTGGCCGTCCTCCGGTAATACCGGGCATCGTCCCGCATAGTAGTACCGCCTCAGGACGGATTAATTCCTTGCGTAGTGGTACCGCCTCAGGGATTTTCATAACCACACATACAACCTCACACACCATTTCTCACTTATTCGTTCGCTCGATTCACACATCAACATGCCAATATGCTAGCCGATCAAACTTGGCCCGTGCACGAACCAAACCACACACATTTTTCATGCTTAATAAACACCCAAATACGACCAATTGACAATTGATTCAATTCAGCCCATGCGTGCACATAACAACCCACATTTAAATCAATCAACTCACTATTCAACAAACATGCAAGGCCACTAACGGGCCCACAATCACAGCCACAATCATAGCATAATTTCAGCATTTCCAAGCCCATTTCAAGCCATATTAAATACCACAATCCAGCCACACTACCACACACCAAACCGACACCATTTGTCCTTAAATCGAGCCCTAAGCTCGTCAATTCAATCCACAACGTCCAGGACTCAACTCAGCCTCAATTCAGCCCCGAAACATCACCATTTCATCCTCAAATCAGCCAATATCAATCCCCAAATCAGTCCGCCAAGTTAACCCCTAAATAGCCCCTAAATAACCCTAAACAGCCCCTAATCAACCCGATTAGCCCCTAATCCATTCTATCGATACCCGACATCCTAAATAGGGTTTAGGGGACGACTTACTTGAAAATCTAAGCTAGCTCGGGCAAGAGAGAGGGGCGGTAGTCCGGCGGTCACACGGCGGCGGACGGCGAAGGCGAGCTGCTGAACGGCGGCGTACGGCGTCGGCGGCGGCTAGCTGGACGGTCGGCTGGTTCACCTTGGCTGGGGCTGAACTGAATGAGAGTTGGTGGTGTTTCGGTGGAGGGTGAAAACAGGGGAGAGAGAGAAACGGTGAGGCGAGCGGTGGGGTGAGGCGAGCGGCTGCTCCGGCGTGCGGCTGCTCCGGCCAAGCGGGTGGACGGCGGCGACAGCTGGCTTGGACGGCTAGCCACGGTCACGGTGAGAGGCTAAGGGAGTTCGGTCGGAAGGGGGGGAGAGAGAGAGGGTGAAGCCGAGAGGTGAGAGAGTGAGGAGAAAGAGAGAGAGAGAAATTTGGGCTAAATAGGAAGAACTCCAATAATTGGTGTCTAGCCCAAGCAAAATGACCATCATGCCCCTCTCTCACATTTCCAATCAACGGCCAAGATTCGATCTTATCCTAAGATCGACGGTCCGGATTAATCCTGGCAAAAAATATCCAGGGGCAAAGTTGGAATTTCACAAAATTCCCAAGGGCAAAATTGTCCAAAAATTTCTATTTCTAAGGCTAGGGTGAAATGACCAAAATGCCCTTCCCCATTATACTTGGCCTTAACAAAATCTCAAGGGTAAAACGGTCATTTTTCATTTCTCGCCGAAATTCGATTTTTTTGAAGGATTCTGACAATTCTAAGGTTGATCAGGCTAATGGCAACGTCGTCCAAATGATCTGTCGTGACTTTCTAAATTTCCAATGCCCAACTTGGTCTCTAATTAATGACTAAATTCTAAATAACGTAACTTGAGCGTATCTCAGACTACGGGCGGCTTTTGGGGAAATTCGCACTTTTGACCCGTGGTCGATACTGAATCAAGCCACGTTTAAGTTCACTTGGGTCGTGACGACCTCGGTTGTCACTGAATTGCGAGGATCAATCGCTAGTTCCGACGGGCGCGATCGTTTGGTATAGATTTAAGGTCATTCGTCAGTTCATCTCGTGGTCAAGCGGAATCACCCGCGATCCACTAATATAACAGTGGCGAATCGATCTCTAACTATCCTCGGATCGGTCTACATTGGCCCAAAATGTCACCTCGACAATTCTATGGTCGAAAGTCGATTCACGATCGAGTTTCTTTAGTCGCGCGAATTTAAATCCCTAATTAGCTTTTCCCTAACGGTTAGTATCCCAGGAATGATTAGTTCCGGGCGAGATCTAACTACAAGCACGTCCATAAACCATTCATTTAATAAAATTCCAAGTGGGCCGGATTTCAGAATGTCACACGATTTCTAGAGTCAACCCTAGCTCGGTTGCAACACTAGTGTTCATTGGCATTTTTCATGTGTTGCTGAAATTGGGGTGAATTTGGTTCATTTTGTTTACATGTTTATTTGTTTGGATGCATACGTGGGGATTGTTCAGAACTTGAATCTATGGCCTTTGCGAAACAGACACTTGCAAACCACAATCCTTGAGTGTGATATATACTTGTTACGTTTTCATTTATTGCAACTTCACATGATCATAAGGCCTCTGTTCTCATTTTGACCGAGAATGAAAATGATCATATTATCCTCCTCCACGCTTCTTGTTTTAGTGATTGTTTACATTTTTCCCCTGATCATGGAGTTTATGCAACTCTCCCCCAGCTTTATATATTGTTTGCAATCTTAGATTGTATGACACTTTGGGCACTCTTCCTCTTTTTCAAGTTCAACAGTGATTAACTCTAGCGACGTTGGTATTCCTCTTTTTGAGATTTTTGCTGCCAATTGGTATCTTCAGCAGTTTGTACAATCTGATATAGGGATGTTCTCTTTCAATTTCTTCAATAATTTTCTTTTATTATCAGTCATAGAACATTATATTGATGTGATCTTGACATCAAAGATTCTATGCTTGAATTGGTACACCATCTCTACCAGTTAATGTTAAATGACATCCCACGAAGAGGCATTTCATGGCAAAGTGGACTGAGCCTCTGATCAATTTGCTTGTAAGTTTGTTGGTAGAAGAAGTAAAAAAGGGAAATCGCACCACCTGTGCCTATGACAAAGTAGGATGGAATAACATACATGCTGAAGTTAATAAATGGACAAGACTCCACTTTTGTCTAGTTCAATTGAAGAATAGGGCCAACAAACTGAACAAACAGTATAGTAGTTCTAAGAAACTTTTTTCACAATCTGAATTTGGATGGGATAGTGTAAACAAAACAGTTGCTGTGAAGGATCCAAGTGAATGAGAGTCTCACATCAAGGATTCCATGAAATTGTGTTTTCGACTTTTGTACTGTATTTCCATTATTGTATTTGAGGATTTTCTATCTTGGCTCTTGTAATGTGATGTTGTCTTTGAGGACTTCCTATCAATTTTAAAAGATCATCATTTGCGACATTAAAAAATCATTTCTTATGGATTGCATGTCTTTTGGTGCTAATCTTTTGCAGTGTTGTTGGGTGGTATAGACAAGCAAGGAAGTGGAATCAGGTATTGAATGCAATTCTCTACTTGGCATGATCACCTCTCTTTTATCTGCAAATTAGTCCTTTTGCCATCAAATTAGTAGCTCATATCAGGAATAGAAATATGTCCCAATGCCCGTCATTTGGTTTGAAGTTTTGTGGTAACGCGATTATTGGTCATGAGATTAAAAATTAGTCACAAAGTCCTAAAGTTGGAGAATCGAGTGTAATGATGCAAATGGTCTTGTATATCCTTGAGGAAAGAAAAAGGGCATTTAATGAACATTCCCACCTTATTTGGTTGAAGATAGCTATTCCCATATTATTCGGGACCAAATTCGATGATTTTGTCAAACTTCCACTGAATTTACAGTGGACATCAACTATTCCCATTACTCGTGATAGCAATGGGTTACCTTGTTAAATTCGCTAAGGATTGGTGGTGCTTCTAAGTCGGTCATCAACGGAAGATAATCATTGCTTTGTCCAAAACTTTCCAACATAAAACTAATTCAATTCTTTCATTGGTGATGCTCAACAACAAAGTTCAACATAAATGATACGCACAACATTTCAGGAGAAGGTCGTTGTCTCTGGATGATAGGGTCGGCAATGCAAGCCCAATATTTGCATTTAGCTTTTCTCGACTTACATCCACACGTCAGGATAAATCCTCTTTAAGTCTACTTAACCAACGTGCAGAGAATGATTCCTTTTATTTTTGTTCCAGGACAGTTAAAAAAAAAGGAAAAATTCGCTTGTCTACCCGGTTTTGTCACATAAGAAGAACATAGTGTGGAAACAAAATTTTGGAAATAGAAATTTTGTGCTCTTATCGAATGAATTTCTTTTCCAGGAAATAGAAATTTTATGCTGTTATTAAATGAATTTTTATTTTGGGAACAGAGTTTTTGTGTCGTTATCAAACGTGTTTCTCTACTCAGAAACTTGTGCAGG